TATCGGTCAATTTAAAAGTATCTTAGTTGGTAGTACCGCCACCTGTGGCGCGCATAGTCAATTCCCTTGCGTTTGACGTTTCCACACTACCGCCATCTGTTCAGCGTACTACCCACCACAGTGTACTCAACAGATGGCGGTAATGTTTTAACGACGATGTTTTACAGTGAGAAATATTCAATGTGTTATGTATGTTTGTCTGTGAAAGAACGATAACCCAAATCATTGAACAATTCCACAAATGGTTTGGATGATACCCCGAACACGTCGTTAAGCAAATTAACCATAGCATTTTTATTAGGGTTTGCTTATGAACGCTTGTATGAAAACAGTCGTTTCGACTTGGTTTCATAATGTGGTTTTTTTAACCTAAGATTGTTGAGAAAATTTACATGATAAAACATGTGTTCTATCTCATCCTGAATCAAATTTGGACGAAAAGTATGTTTTTTTAAGCCCAACTTTTTGCGATGATCCCGCATAAACAATAACCTAAAGAAGCGCCTAAACAACCATTCGGGATATCATCCCTACTTTATGTGATACGGTCGTATCACCTATAATATCATGAATGTATGCGACCCATTTATTAGGGATGACATAGAAAACATATTATTAATTGTAAATTTTCTTTAGAATTGAAGAAAAAACTAGGCTACCAAGACGAATCGTCTTTTTCATACAAGCTTTCATGCGGAAAATGCTTCGTATCGTATTTATGGTTTTTGTTTTCGTATATATAATGATGAGAAAATCCCTGTATTGAAATAAATTTGGAAAATAATAAAAATTAAGAAAAGGCCCAATTAAAGGACCACTAATGCCAACAACTGGCACACTTACCCTAATAACCAGAACTGTTCAGTAAAATGAAAATAATTTTAAAATATGTGCCTTTTTTATATATCTGTATATGCGGCATCACTGCCGGTTTTTTCCTCGCTCGTTCGATCTTTTCAAACCAACAACAAGAAGTCTCGTTCATTCCCAGTTAGTTCATCTCCTTGTGAGCAAGTGTTTTCCTGCGTTTCCTTTTCGCCAAGAACAAAGTTTCAGCTGGTGTGTGCCTGATTCCCTCGTGTATTGAATAATTCGGAGTTTACGCGATTGTTAAGCGTATTCGTTAAGTTAAAGTTTCCGAGTGTTATTCACGGTGAGTACAGTTTTAGATTCATATTCTGCTTTAAGTTTGAAATGGTTCGGGAAAGAATACCTTGTTTCAATTCTGGGAAAACTTGGTCGATTTGTGTAGCCATCTTGAAATTTTGATCAAAAGTAGAAATGTGTATCTTGTGTCGTAGAATGCTTTAGCTTGTTAATGAAGAACAAATAGAGAAATTATATATGAAGAATAGAATGATTCTATGTTTCATTTAAGATTTGTCGTGTAATAATCATTATTTTAAAATCCCTTGCATTGGAAGAGGTAATACCAATAACGGTACTGAATGATCCGTTAGTTCGGGATACATTGTACGGCGCTACGCCCTTGCTTTGTTGTAACCAGTGTTGCCAATCAACTAAGTTTCTCTTTACCCTCTTCTTCCCATGGTAGCATCAGCAGGGGTACTTTGGAGACGATCTTATTCGATTTTATTTTGCAAGCCAAGGGAAAAAGTGTTTTAAAAGTGCACGTTTACGTGTAATCGTTTTAGTGTCTTAGGCGCACTTCTTTCTTATGTGCGCTGAAGACCTCCAGACAATTTGACCTACATGTGCACTTTTATCACACTTTTTCATTTTTGGAGCAGTCCAATTTTTGATGCAAGCAGCAATATATGTTTCGCTTAAGTATTTGTTTTCCTGCAATCGAAAACTCAGCTGGTTTATTTTTATACTTTCATCACTGGCCTGTTTTTTATACTTAGACCAACAATTGAAATCGCCGACACAACCTATCATAAATAATTTCAAAATTTTCAAAGCTTATGGACTTTAATGTATTCATTTGATAGGAATTCAGAGGATGAATTTTTAGAAAAGTTAAATTTAGGGATTCGCTTCAAATTAGTTCTGCCGGGCTGTGGAGCATTCCAAAGAGAGTTCTTACTAAAAATGTAAAGTAATTTTTATGTAAAATTTTGAAGGGATTTGTTAGGAGAACTGAAAGTGAATTCTATGGAGAACTCCAAGGTACTTGAAAGTGAAATTCCAAGAAAAGAAGGAGAATCCGATGAGAATTCTGAAAATAATTTAATGAAAACTATGAAGATTTTCGAGAAATAATGTTAGCAGTATTTGAGGTAAATTTCAAAGGCATAACCAGAAACCAGAAATCTGTAAAATTTTACAGAAATCTCAACAGCTGAACGCTCGGTAAACAGTTTCACAGATTTCCTGTAATTTTTCACAAATATCTGTAAATTTTTCACAGATATCTGTAAATAATTATAGGAAAACTGTAAAATTGTTTACCAAACGTTCAGCTGTTGAGATTTCGGTAAAATTTTACAGAAATCTGTAAAATAATCTTAGTGTGTACCAACAATCAATACGAAACTAACGATTTCAAATTGGCTCACTACTTGACTAGCCTATTGGTCCCAAGTAAACGATTAACGTACCCCATTCTAGTCGAAATTCTACTACTACACAATGTTTGTTTTGATTCGCTATGAAAGTTTGACAGATAAAATGAGCGGTTAGTGGATTTTCCTATGTTTCGAGGGGCGAATTGATTAGCTTGGGACCGAAGATAATACCAGAGCTGAGCCAAAAAGTTGAGCTCGTTTCTTCGGGACCTTCTGGTCTTAGAGTTACCTCTATGGGCATACTATAGAGATTTTTTTATGTAAAGCTACACCAGAACCGCCGTACAGCCAAATTATTTAAAAGAGTCACCAACCATGGATACGTTGCGTTATCAATTTATTTGAAACGCTTGCCAGAAATTGACGGGCTGGTTGAAAACGGCCAACTAGTTAGCATATTTATAATTCGAAATTTGAACTAGCCTACGACTAAAAATCTCCTTAACAAAGAAAAAAATTCGAAATTTCCGAAATCTATTAGTCGGACCATTTATGAACCATTCTAACCAATTTACGGACCATAAGGAAATTTATGTCCATATCGTAAATAACTTTCGTAAGCACGCCATCGTTTATTGGCAATATGGTTGAAAATTTTAAAACTACAACACTTCGGAAATTTCGAATTATAAATGTGCTAATGCTAATGTGCTTTCAACCAACCCGTCAATTTCCGGCAAACGCTTCTAATAAATTGATATTACGTACACGCAAAATTCAGTATATTTGTAGTTGTGTCAAAATTTCAGCTCAATTGATCATAACAAAACATAGTTGAAACATGCCAAAGTTGGCTAGTTTGTATGAAAATCCGCCTATTGTGCTAATTTAAAGGCCTCCACTGTATAGAGCTAACATTTCACAAACTACTTAATAAACACAGGTAGAAGAAAACATCATTTAAAATTATCAAAAACGGTTCCTTTTACATAGCGTATTTCCAATGTTTCATTGTATGATACATCTGGTTGTGCACGAAAACTACGAATTATCTTGTTTTAATATTCAAACCGGCATTCAAACGTACTGATAGTTCCTAGTATAGATAGATACTATAGATTCCATAGATAAGCGGAGGCGCAAAAAGTGTTTTCGGCAAACATGAAAAATAAATGCTTTTACTGGCATTCATGAATAATGTTCATGCCATCATAGAGCCTTATTCCGTTTTCCGCGAAATAAATCAGAATATGGAGTGTGGAAAGTGTTTTGTGCTCATAATATTGCAATACTTCCCGTACTTCCCCCGCAAAACACACCTTGATGACGTCATGCTCGTTTGGCTACCTAATTGACAGTTCGTTTGGCTACATTCTACTTTGCCTCCACTTATCTATGGAATCTACAGTGTCTATAGTTTCTAGTAACGCCCGATTCATTTGATATCATTTGCATCCGATCCGATATCTCGATGAACATTTCAAAAGATCCTATCTGCTTTGATCGATTCCTTCATCGACTTTCTTTTTGGATAACCACTGCTATGCAAATAGATTTTACGCTATGTTTACCACATAGTTTGATAAAATAGGTTCTCATCTAGTGTCCTCAACGTTAAATACAACAGGTAAAGGGATTGAGAATTATCCACGGCCCGTACAAATTTTAATTTTTTTGTATGGACAATTGTCTACGCGGGGGGAGGGGGGGTCCAAAATCCCAAAAAAAAAAACTGCCTACGTAGTTTATGAACAGACCTTATTGACTATATGTCAAGCTAATAAATCATCCAGAAAATGGAAAGTCATGAAATGGTATTAATTTTTAGGTCATAAAAATTCGGAAGCGATTTACTTGATATGGAGATTTTGGTATTCCGCCCTTTTCAAATGTTAGTCTAGATTTGAATCGGACGTGATAGATTTTCGAGCAAAAGTTAAGTTAGTATAAGTTAAAGTTTCATGTCGCATTGTCGGTGATTAAACTGCAATCCAACATGTGATAGCAATGCTAGCAAGGTATAAACGGTATAAGCAGTAGCAGTTCTTACTGAAATTTAGTATAGCTCTGCAAACGTCAACCCGCTTCAGTAAACAACCGGCATTTGGAAACTGGTATATGCTTATGTGGTTAAGTTTCCCATTCGGGTGCAACACGAGAAAAGGGCCTATCATTATTGATCGATTCTCTTCGTCGATTTTCTCTTTCGCGAATAATCCGACTGCAAATGAATTTCCCATCCAGTGTGTTGTTTCAAGCGCAAGCTAACATCATCTTCTGTCGAACTGCGAGCTTAGCGAGAAATTCGTCTATGTTGCCGTGGTAGTAAACCAAAGAGGAAGTCGATGAAGATCAACGAGGATAGGCCCTTTTCAAATGCTACGCGAGAATTCTGGATTTGCCTTAAAATAAAGTGGTCTATTTTTCGTTCCGCTCCCCGTGGCCCAATACATAGTTTAATATTATAAACAAAAGATTTGATTATCGAAATCTGTGTATTGTTCGCTTGCTTTCGTTCTATTTACTACTACAAACGTCAGCACATTATTTGTTCCCGCCAGTAGCATACCCCGCATTGCAGTGTTTTGTGCAAGATCAGCTATCAGATTCCCGGAAAGCACACGATGATGGTTCACAAGTTATAAGATCGAGTCATTTAAACTTGAAAACTTCGCGCGTACTGATTTGGTAAGTGCACATGGGTTGCATGCGCGTTGATATAGGAGATATAAAGGCGGAAAATGTGAAAACTCGGCTAAAACTAAATAAGTTGCTCATCCGTCCGTGTGCGGGGGCGCGTGCCTTCGAGCTTGTTGTCACTCATCCGCAAACAATTAATGCACTGTGTGGTGGCATAAGGAGATCTCTGCAGCTTCTTTCTTGTTTCTTTTCTTTTTTCAACCGTTTCCAAGTAATTAATATCTTTTGCTTTCTTTTCGTTTGTAGTTATTATTATTATTATTTCTTAACCGTTGGATAGCTTCTTAGTGATATACTATTTTCTTTGCCTGCGCTGCGATAGTTGCGACAGCTAAATATTATATGTTTCTTCTTTTCAGTAAGTCTGTACCATCATGAGCGAGTGGGACGACGTAAGTATTGTGGTTTCTACTTTATTATTAAAATTCCTACCTACTTTGCATGCAAGATAGAAATGGTTCTTCTTTTAAAATTTTGCTCTACAGGACACCGGCACTTCGTTCAGTCAGTCGAATTACCGGGGCGCAGAGGACAACCAGGACTCTGGTTATTCTGATAACCGTCGTGGCGGAGGTGGCTTCAGAGGTATATTCATGTAAAACCACGTTTTGTATAGCATATGCTAACTAAGGACTTCTTACTCTACCCAGGCAGAGGAGGGCGTGGCGGTCGTGGAGGCCGTGGAGGTCGCGGTGGTGGTTATGGAGGTAGCCGCGAAAACGGAGATGAAAATGGTGATGGTTTCGCGGACGATTCGAACGGCTATGAAAACGGTTTTGGGGGCGGCGATAGAGGAGGGTTCCGTGGACGCGGTCGCGGAGGCCGCGGCGGTCGTGGAGGAAGAGGCGGAGGTCGTAGCGATTTCGGTGGAGGTGACAACAATGAAGAAAATGGCTTCGGAGGCCGTGGAGGTGGCGGATTCAGATCCCGCAACAGAGATGATAATGATGACAACAACAATGAGGCAGGAGACGATCAGGTTAAGACGGAAAAGCCAAGAGAATTGTACATTCCTCCGGCCCCCACCGAAGATGAAACCGAAATGTTCGGATCCGGAATCAGTTCCGGAATCAACTTTGACAAGTTCGATGACATCAAGGTCAATGTAACAGGAGAAAATCCGCCGAACCCGATCAAATCGTTCAGTGAGTCGGGACTGCGTGATTATCTGCTGAACAATGTGCGGAAATCGAACTACACGAAACCGACTCCTATCCAGAAGTACGCCATTCCGACTATTATGGACAAGAGGGATTTGATGGCCTGTGCCCAGACTGGCTCTGGAAAAACGGCCGCATTTCTGTTGCCAATGATCAACACACTGCTGAACGATAATGACGACATGGTTCCCGGAAATCCGTTCGTGGTAATCATTGCACCAACCCGCGAGTTGGCATTGCAGGTAAATTAAGTTCTTATCAAGTTCCATTCGCTTACTTACCAAGCTTTCTCCTTTTTCACCCACAGATTTTCAATGAAGCTCGCAAATTCGCCTTGGGAACCGTTTTGAAGGTTTGTGTTGCTTACGGTGGCACTGCTACCCGACACCAGATGGACAACATCAACAACGGTTGCCACATCCTGGTTGCCACGCCCGGTCGATTGTTGGATTTCGTCGACAAACAAGTGGTGACGTTTGAGCGGATCAAGTTTGTTGTACTGGACGAAGCGGATCGTATGCTCGACATGGGTTTCATGCCGTCGGTCGAGAAAATGATGAACCACGAAACGATGCGTCCGAAGGAGTCAAGGCAGACGTTGATGTTCTCCGCTACGTTCCCTGGTGAAATTCAGGAGCTCGCGGGGCAATTCCTTAACAACTACGTTTTCGTAGCGGTTGGAATCGTAGGCGGCGCTAGCACTGACGTGGAGCAGACTGTTCATCAGGTGACCAGGTTCCAGAAACGTAAGAAGCTCGAAGAATTGCTGGAGAGTTCCGAACCCAAGGGCACGCTGGTTTTCGTTGAAACAAAACGTAATGCTGACTACCTGGCGTCGTTGCTGTCGGAAACGAAGTTTCCCACCACGTCGATTCACGGTGATCGCTTGCAGCGGGAACGTGAAGAAGCCTTGCGTGATTTCAAATCCGGGAAAATGTACATACTAATTGCTACTTCGGTAGCCGCTCGAGGACTGGACATCAAGAACGTATCCCACGTGATCAACTACGATCTGCCCAAGAGTATTGATGATTACGTTCATCGCATCGGAAGAACTGGCCGTGTTGGCAATAAGGGCAGGGCCACAAGCTTCTACGACATGGAAGCTGATGCTGGCATTGCAGCGGATCTCGTTAAGATTTTAACCCAAGCCGGACAGAATGTGCCTGAATTCCTGGAAGGAATGTCTACAGGAGGAGGTTCCTTCGGCGGTGGCAACCAGTTCGGTGGACTGGATATCCGTTCCCGTGATGCTGGCGGTTCCCGTGCTGACGCTCAACCCGCGCAGATGGAACCGGAAGAAGAGTGGGGTTAAGTCAGACAACTATGGTATATGGTTGAATAAGAAATAGACTGGATTTTTTTTATTCATTTTTTTTATAAACGATTTTCACCTAACTTAAGTGCAGATGGATAGGCAACTTGAGTAAGCTTGAGTAATTACAATTTCTGTTTTTTAAGTACGTTCTTGTGAAGGACGTAATGACCATCTTCATAATCGAGAACTGTTGAAATATAAGAAAATTGTCCTGAACAATTTTCGGAAGCATCTGACAGCAAAATAAAAACCTGTATCCTGTAGTTCAGTCCCTTTCGTTCTATTTGTCCGAATCTACTCTGATGGCAGTTGAATATAAAAAAAACACGTATAGCATGTCAACACCTCTAAAATTTTCTTAGCATCTTTAGACGGTCTCTATCCTGGGTGATTGTTTGCTTTCGATTTGACCTGGAACCAAGTGTCGATAACACACTCCTTTGCCATAGTGGTTGCCTCGCTACGATTTAATGTTGAATTCCAATCCCGCTGTTGCTTGCTGATTTCGTTTCTGCTCTTCCTTGGTGTAACGGACCTACCTCCAATATTTCCCTTCGCTATTATATTTCTACTGGAGCTTAACGCGTGCCTTCAACTGAGTTCTTGTAGAGTAAACGCTCGTATAGTTTTAGTACGTTAGAAGCGTTAAGCTGGGTTTAGACTAGGCAAGTCAGTTGAATTTAATTGGCTTGAAAAGTTGAGCCTGGTTGAACTTTTTTCAATTCAAGTGAGTTGATCAAGTCAGTTGAATGGCATGGTTTACACGTTCATGTCAGTTGAATTCAACTGTCTTGATCAATAGACTTGCCCTGTCTAAACCCAGCTTTATTGGCCTATTCTGCGCGGCGTGTGAGGTGAGCTGACACGCTGTCACTTGTGAAGTGACAATTGTCATCTCGGGTGAGGCGACTCTCCGTGCAAATCAAATGGAGAGTCACCTCACCCGAGGTGACAATTGTCACTTCACCATCACTTCACTGTCACCTCACCTCACACGCCGCGCAGAATAGGCCTATTAGGTTCCTATAGTTCAGTATGGAGTTTCCATACACAACTAACGGAGCCTAAGGCTTCTGACGTACCGCAACTATAGGAGCGTTTACCCTACGCCTGTCCATAAACTAGGGTAAACGAAGTGGAGGTACGTTAGTGCGTTATTATAGTGGATATCGTCATACCATTCCGTACAAAACGGGTTCCCCATACAAAAGGAAAGTTTTTGTATCGGAAATCCGTTTCGACCACAGTCTGAGCAATAACAATAACAATAAGAATATCTTTTTGAGATTTTAGCAGTCACGTTTTGTTTGTAGTTTATATTTTATTTATTTCATTTAATTATCGTAAATATTAGTTATTCAATAATAGATAGTTCATCCATATATTCGTACTTTGACGCGAAGCGCTGTGGATTATAAGATGCTCGATGACCCTCGAGGGATCGATTTTGCTTACTGAGCAGAAAATCATGGATTTAACCCCAAGCTCTTCCACAGCACAATAAATCGTCCACCATTTGTATTTGATATTGAACATTAACCTCGGAAACTATTTGCATATCAAGCGAAAACGTAGTCCTGTATTGTCGCAAAGCGTTATGGTTCTGAGATGCTCGATGACCCTGGAGGAATCGTTTTTGCTTACTGAGCAGAAAATCATGGGTTTAATCCCAAGCTCTCCGTCATGACTCTTAAAATTTATGATCACTAAACAAAATGAATATGTTCTTTCGATAGCCGGCTATCGATAGATTAAATAAACAACGAATAAACAATACATACTTTTGGTTGCATCACCAACTTGAGGTGAATCCTAACCGAATACCCTACCCAACCCTCCAACTCCGTAGCACTTATGAGGGTGTCGCTAAGTCGGTGGCCTCTCGTTAAGTAAGTACTACATCAACATTTCCTTCCCTATCCCTAGTTATGGTAAAGATGGGCGTGGCCGGGAATAGCGACAGTCATGCTTCTGTTACTCTTGTTTAGATTGGAACCAATGTTTACTCCTCAGCATTATTCCTGAAAGTAGTCTAACTGAGAATTTCAGAAGAGACGTGAGTGTCGCTAGTATCCAATCTACGAAGTATATCATAACAACGCTAACGCTAACGCTAACGGAAATCCGTTTCGACCACAGTATCTACTTTGTAGGGGTGAGTTTTTGTAATGTTTTAGACACCCCTCAGGGGATGGCACCTTAAGAGGGGTTCTTCCTAAACTATGTAGATGGTTTTTTAGAGTGTGACTATCGTCGTTCGAAACGGATTTCCCATACAAAAAAAAGAGAATAGTGGTAGTAGTAGTAGTAAATTTTACGTTAATTTACTGTTTTTTAAGTTTCAACATTTGATTTAACATTTCAATTGATTAGCCTTTGACTCTTCATCTTTGTTCTAGCTATTGGTTATTATAATGTGATGATTTTTTTTTTTTTTTTTTCTTTCTTTATTTAGGAGATTTTCAGCCGTAGGCTGGTTCATCTCCGAGAGACCCTGAAGTGGACTCCCCGAGTAACGTGGTTTAGATTTTTTCGGTGAACCCTGAGGGGGTTCTCCTGGGTATAGATGTGCTTAGGGTGTTCCCTTGGTACATAGTGGTTTTTACAGAGTTTGTTAACGTTTGTGTTTTGTGGTTGTTCAGCGTGATTGGCGGTTCATAAAAGGGATGGTCGTTGTGAAGGGTAATCAGATAATCGTTGTGTGGTATCCAGTCTAGAGTCAATCGGGTCCGTGTTCGGTGCGTTGTTATTTTGTATAGGGGGTCGGTGATTAAATTTTATCGAACAATCCAGCATCTTTAAGAAAGGTTATTAGAGCAGCTTCCGTGGATGGGTCGTTAGACAGGGCATTGCGTATGTTGTCCGGGATTCCGTTGTGGACCCGGATGTTCTGGAAGCAGGGACAGTTAACGATCAGGTGTTCGACAGTCATTATAGTGTTGCAGGTGTCGCAATACTTCTGAAAAGATGTAGCGCTGCCCATATTATGGGTTACTCGGGTGTGTCCAGATCGGAGCCGAGATAGGATCTGTTGTTCCCGTCGACTCGTAGTGTCCTTCCATTTGAATATGTCGTCCTTTATTTTTCTTAAGAAAGGTCCCCTTTTTGTAACCCACTCTTGGTACCAGGCGTCTCGAAGGGTCGTTTTCACCCATGTTTTTATATCTGAACTGGGAACAGATGTGGTAGTCATCCGGCCGGTGCGCCCAGTGGCGGCGAGATGGTCTGCTTCGCAGTTACCGCCTATACCACAATGGCCAGGTACCCAGACAAATGAGGTGTTCGGTGGTGCGGTCTTTTGTATGCCTTGGATCCAGGGATGTTTTGATGTTGCTGAATTCAAGGCACATAAAACGCTGGCAGAATCTGTTAGAACGCAAATGGGTTTATCGGAGGGCGTAGTGATGGCTAAATAGATGGCCGCGGCCTCCGCCGAGAAGACGGAGCATTGATCGGGAAGTCGAAAGAATAAACTGTTGAACGTATCTGCTACTCCGTATCCTACTTTTCCCGCAGCCTTGGAGCCGTCCGTGAAGCGGTGTTGAAACTTGGCATACTTAGTTCAGAGTAACTCCGCTAGGTGGCTGTGCATAGCGTGAGAGTTGTTCCCTGTCTTAAAGTGCTTGGCAATCGAAAGGTCAACATGTAGGGTTGGTTCTGTCCATCCTCTGGCTCCGATCCAGTGTAACCTGGACACGGATGGGAGTTCCTGATGGACCAGGCTTCCTAGGGCTCTATTCCCCTCTCTGAGGAGAAAGACCTCGTGGTTCCCAGTGGTCTTTTCTAGGTAACTGGATGTTCTGCAGCTCAGCGTTTCGGCGATTTGATATTGGAACGGCAGTACACCAAGTTCAACGCATGCCGATTCAGCGGGTGTAGAGGGCAGAAGACCTGCGACGATCCGGATGGCCTTGTTGTAGGTTGGGGCTAGATGCGTGGTTAGAGAGTCTTTGGAGAGGCAGGTTAGTTCAATCCCATAAAATAGTCTACTGTTTACGGTGGCCTTGGCTACCTTTAGTAGGATCTCTCTGTTGCTGCTGTGGTGTGGTTTTGAGAGTGTTCGCAGGAGGTTTAGTCGCGTACGGCAATTGGCTTTAGTGTCAGTAAAGTGTGCGTTGAACCTCAGCTCTCGGTCCAGGCGCACTCCGAGAACCTGAATGGTCTTTTTGTTGGGTATCGGAATGTTGTTCGCTAAGATGTTCGTTGGTATCGGCCGATGGCGGGAGCGGCATAGATGGGAAACCATGCTCTTTTTTGGGGACAGTACGAAGCCGGCCTTGGAGGTCCATCTTGAGATGGCTGATACAGCAGCTTGCAATTTTCTTCGCAATGCTTTGAGGGTGCGTCCGATAGCTAGCAGAACGATGTCGTCTGCATATACAAAGATGAATATTCCTTTTGGCAGGTCACTAAAGACACCATTCATTGCAACCAAGAAGATGGTGACCGCAATGACGGAGCCCTGTGGGACTCCAGTCTCTTCCGCTCGGGGTGAGGAGCGGTGGTTTCCAATCAGAACCTGAAAAGTTCTACAACAAAGGAAGTTTTTAACGAAGTGAAGGATATGGCCACTTAGACCCCAGTCAACCAATTGTTTTATGACCTGAGGGGTCCATGCGCGGTTATATGCGTTGGCTAGATCCAAGGCCGCTATGTCGATGTGGAGTTCCTCCTCCATCGCTTCCTGAAGTACGTCTCCCAGGCCGGTAAAGTACGTTCCGGTCCCGTGGCCGGGTCTGAACGCATGCTGTCGGTGATCGAGATGGTCGGCGATTGACCATCCGTTCCATGACTTTGCTGGTACAGCACGTCAGTGAAATCGGACGGAAATTTTCCGGTGTTGAAGCAGCTTGTCCCTGCTTTGGTATGGGGACTACTAGGCTGTGAGTCCATTCTTTAGGCAGGGTGTTGTCCGACCAAATTTTGTTTATTATATTTAGCAGTTCGATTTTGGTGTTGGGTGGGAGGTGTTGCAGCATGGGATATCCGATGTCGTCTGGACCAGCAGATTTACTTTTGCTACGGGATAATGCTAGATTAAGTTCTTCGAACCGAAAGGGAGCGTTTATATTTGTTGGCATTGGGTCCTCCGGGATGGCAATGTCACGAATACTCTGTGTGGACGCATGGTTTTTTTGTATGAACGCCGTGTCGTAACGATTAATGGCCGAAAGTGAAGCGAAGTATTCTGCTAATTCGTTGGCGATGGTTTGTGGGTCTCGTGTGAGCCCAATTGGGAGACGAAGGGCCATCCCT